TCTCCGCCACAATGCCACCGGAGGCCCTTGATATCACTAGGAAGTTCTTGAACAAACCTGTAAGGATTTTGGTGAAACGTGACGAGCTCACCCTTGAAGGTATCAAGCAGTTTCATGTCAATGTTGAGAAAGAGGATTGGAAACTCGAGACACTTTGTGATCTTTATGAGACCTTGGCAATTACACAGAGTGTCATCTTTGTGAACACCAGGCGCAAAGTTGATTGGTTAACAGACAAGATGCGCAGTCGTGATCACACAGTTTCTGCCACCCACGGAGACATGGACCAAAACACGAGGGATATCATCATGAGAGAGTTTCGGTCTGGTTCTTCTCGTGTGCTCATAACCACTGATCTGTTGGCCCGTGGTATTGACGTCCAACAGGTCTCCCTTGTGATTAATTACGACCTTCCAACACAACCGGAGAACTACCTCCATCGTATTGGTCGTAGTGGACGGTTTGGGAGGAAGGGTGTTGCCATCAATTTTGTCACCAAGGACGACGACAGGATGTTGTATGATATCCAGAAGTTTTATGACGTTGTCATTGAGGAGCTGCCGGCAAATGTTGCTGATCTGCTCTGAATAAGGTTTTGCATTGTTTTGGTGAATTGCCATCGAATTTTCGAAGCCGTATTCATCTTTTTCCTAGGGGCGATTGTTTAACATTGTTTACTTGGAACAGGGGAATTCCCGTTTCAGGGGCGGAAAAAACGACTGGAAATTTTTGGTCGAAGTTTTGTTGCATCTTTTTATAATTTTAGTAGGTCAGAAGTTTTGCACCATTAAACTATGTTAGGCTTGAAGTGTTCAAAGTTTGGTTTTTGAGATAAAATATAACGTTGGAGTCACGGAAGCTTCTCGCTTGAGTGCGCTGAAGATTGATGCAATTTTGACTTTTGAGAATTTTGTTTCTGTTGTGAAAGAGTGAATAGAAAAATGGTAAAGAGAGATTTTTATTTACGATTGAGAATATATATATATATATATATATATCTGATATCTCTACGTGTCTATAATATCGGAAATTCAAATAGTGATGGAGCAAAATGACCCCAAACATAAAAGGGGATGCACTAATTGGGATCAACTTCTCAATATAGTCGAAGAAAAAGAAGAATAACGTTCTTTTTTTAGGTTAAAAGTCCTTAAAAAAAAGAACAAAAAGAAGAAAGATAGATGAGACTCCCTCATAACAATAATTGTTGACAACCAACTCTTACAACAAAGTGTAGCTATTTGTATAATTGTTTAGTGACCAGTTTGATGATTACCTTCCTAGGTGAAGTGGGGCTGGCACAAAATGGGTTTTACCGACCCATGATGAGCATGATAAGTAATTCATTTGTATTTACTAACACATGAAATTTTAATAAAATATGGGCTCCGGATTAAAATACGTAATTGGATATCTGAAAAAAAACTCATGAATGAAATCAATTAGAGAGGCAACTTGATGCATACATATTCCTTCTCTCTTCTCCGATTCATGATTTCTTTCATTCCATATAAGCAAACATCACATTATCGTATGTTTAGCATTCATCAAAATTCTATTTTTGATTAAAAGTTTGTAACTATTTTATTTGTGTATATTTTCTTTGAAATTGCTTCATGCCAAAACATATTCAAATGTGAAATAACATTTGGATTCATAAAATGGTTTTGCCAAACAAGGCCAAAATTGCTTCTTTATAGCACATATAGAAGGGTAAGAATTTACATGGAATAGGTTCACCGCTACATGATGTCCTATATCCAATAATACATTGCCAAATGCAAGTTTTTCTCCACATGACAATATATTATTAGATTAAGACACCACGTAATGGTGAACTCATTCAATATAAGTTGCTCTCATATAGAAGGCCTAAAATTTGTATTTTATATCATTTTAGTCAAATTGGTTATTGAAATTGGCATAACTCTTTATTTTAGTCTCTGAGATTTGAAATCGATAGAAGTGATCCCTAAGTTTATTCATTGTGAATTAATTTGGTCGTTTCATGAAAATCTTAGTTTTTTTTTTCCAACATCAAAATCTCTGTTACTAAGGATTACAATGATAAAAATACTCTTATGATAAATAATGAGCCAAAATGATTTGATAAAAATTAAGGGTATTTTTTTCATTTTCACCATTTTTAATAGAATTTTTTCAAAAAAATGTCTAAAATAATTAACGGTAAACAAACTCAAAAAGTTAAATCTTAAAAAACAAAGTGAAAAATTATATGAATATCGAAACCTATTTTAGTTTACAAGTCTTCTTTTATTATTCCATATAGAAGACCTAAAATTTGTATTCCTTTATTCTTTTATGCATTGAATAGAATTCAGCTTTTTCTTGGTCGATGCCGGAAAATAATACTAACAAACAGCATCGTAGACAAGACAACCTGATTCCCCGCGAAACACGCCATCTAAAATCACTCATAAGGTCAGCTATTACAAAAAAAAAAAAAAAAAAAAAAAAACCTTAAAAAATGAAACCCAAACAAAATATCTCTTTACTTTTCTCCTCTTACTTTTCTTCTTCTTCTTGCTCCTCTGTTAGAATCCAAGCCCACCAAACGGTCTGAAAGCTCTCTCTGCCCCCATGGAAGAAGACTACAGCAGATCAAGGTCGTCGTACGGCGGCGGCGGGAATAATATGCAGGTGGGAAGCTACTATGGACACCCAACAAGGCCGCCACGCCCCACTTCCTCCTATGAGCTGAGGAGCTACAGTGTTTCATATGCACAAACCCAGATGGCTAACCAGAATTATAACTATAATAACAGGGAGATTAAGCTGAAAAAGGGGAAAAGCATTTCTGGGTCGTCTTCCAATTGGGGGGTCCTGGCTGATCCGGAGTTGCAGAGGAAGAAGAGGGTTGCGAGCTACAAGATGTACTCTGTGGAGGGGAAGATGAAGGGCTCGTTCAGGAAAAGCTTCAGGTGGCTTAAAGATAAGTACACCCAAGTGCTTTATAGCTGGTCGTGACTAAAAAGTGATTAATAAGTGCTTTTTGGTGGGTAATATTTAGTTTTTGTTCTGTAATTATTCTTATTTGTAAGTCTTGAGAGGAAAGAAAGTCTTGAATTTTGTGTCTTTGAAATGGAGTTTATGGTTGTGATCGTATATAAAAAAAAAAAAAAAAAAAATCGTGATTTGAGTTTGCTGCATATTAATAAATTGAACTGAATTGTAAATTGGAGTGTATTGTTTCTGGTTTTGAATCAATTTGTCACCTTTTGTGATTATCCATATTGTTCTTGTTAAAAGTTATGCGCTTTGAGGTACGCTGATATCGATTTGTCGGCGTACACAAAAACTATTTGTTTGGAGATATTGATACATCTCACCTTCAAAATGGTTCAAGATTTTGATTCTCTGTTCTGGTGTTGGGTTTTATCTATACTATGTAAATCTGGATGCTCTAATTTTTCCCATACCTTTTCATATTTATCCTTTTTGTAGCGTGCTTTAATTTGCGACCTGCATATATGAGAGGTGCTTTAATTTTCATTGTAAGCAATAATCTTGCTTGATTACTAAGATTCTGTTAGGAATTCCTTTTGGAAGGGCAAAAAGCGCTTTTTTACAAGTGAAAACGCTTTTGATTGCATTTGGCAAAAAACTTAGAAGCACTTTTTGATAGGTATGTAACCGCTTTTGATTGCATCTGGCAGCAAACTTAGAGGCGCTTATGTCTACCGACCAAATGCTTCTTGTGGGAGCATTTTCAAGTGCTTATTTTAATTGAGAATTTAACGTGTTAATAATATAAGTACTTTTATTATAAGCACTTATGAGCATAAGTGCTTTTTAGAGAAGCAACGCAAAAGGCTTGAAGTGTCATCCATGGCTGTTTATAGAAATCGACGTAACCATGTCACATGATGAGTATAACAATAATAGGAGGTTATATCTCCGGTTGTATGCAAGATTCTCACCTATTTATGTGTTTTGTTATCATCTTTTGGTTTTCATATCCATCAAGCCACTTGGCTTATGTGATCATCTCTGTCGTGAATGATTTGTAGCCGTTGATTTGGTTGACTCCTAATGCAAGGCCAAGTAGCTCTGTGGTTGAGATGATTTTAATATGTAGCAGGACCAACCTATGAAGTTTTGGCTTTGGAATTTCTGCCAGCCCATATGCTTGTAACCTCCCCTACCATAATATAATGCCATTGCAACTGTTTCCATCACCTCCTTTCTGTCCGCAAGTGGCTTGTAGTTTGAGTAGTTAAAAACATCGTTACACTCGAGCTCTCATGTTTGATTTCTCCTCGCCAGTTTGATTTCTTTTGGAAATGGTTAGTACTCGTGCAATTGAACAACTAGACCATTGGCTGGCATTTATGCACAATGATTCACAGTGGGGGGGGCATCATTGGTTTAAAGAAGATATAATCTAAACTCCGTGGAAGGGCTCCATAAGAATCTTTCAGAAGCGCAACTTTTTTTGCGGGATTAGATACAGCTAATCGACCCGCAAAAACTAGGTCAGATTGATACTGCCAAGCAAGCAGTACTATGTGCCAGTCGATCAGCTGGTATCTGATCCCGCATGGCCTGAATGGCTGGATGCGCCTGTTCAAACCAATTCTTCCAACCAAAATAATAACTCCCAACTCTACCATTTGAAACTGCAACTAAGAGAATGCATTACTTTCACTTGAACTAATTTCAGAGACTCTGACCATATTCCGCTCTTTTTTTTCAATGGTTTTCAATGCCACCCAAGACAAAAAAGGAAATTATTGAATTGGAATTGTTTAATATGTAAGAGTACATACTTAAGCATCAACATGTAATTAGGGTTACAGATCAATTGGAATTGTTTAATGGACAAATCATTTTGGTCTAGTGTTTACTAAATTAAGAGTATTTTTGATATTTGGGTCCTTATTTAACAGAGATTTTTTTCACAGAATGATCAAAATGATTGACGGTGGACAAGCTCAAACCAATTATGTTAATCTTAGAAACCATTTTGGCTAAAAAGTCTTCTTTGTATTTACTTGATAAGAGTTCCTAGAAATTAGTTGCATATAGTTAAGACTCCATAATCTTACTCTATTTGGGGCTTTTTGACTCCTTGCACATTAAATAACTTGTATGCCAAGTTACTTAATTGTCCGAGCAATCCTATGATAGCTCGTTGTCAAACACGTGAGATTTTACATAGTGACTAAATTACTTTGTGTGGGGTGCAAGTAAATTTGGCTATATATTAATAGGACAGCTTAACATCTCCTTGCTAGTTCAGATTACTTTCCCAGTCAAATTGTCTCTGGCTCAATCATCTGCAGTACCTGAATACCTCAACATCCGGAAACGCCAACACTATGGCACAACTGGAAGCGAATTCTACCCAAATAGCGCCGGAACTTGAAAGCGAAGGAGGCGAAGATCACTTGCATGGAAATCGAAATCAGGGCTCAAGAGAGCCAAACTTAAACGCCAGAATTAAACATGCTCAGAAGCTGGCTGCAAAGACTAGTCGAGATAAATTTGAGCTGGATAAAGCTTTAATGAAAAAGACGGTATGTCTGCAATCTGCATGAATTTGTTTGACTGCATTTCCTAATTCATTCATCAGATATGATCATGAATTAAACTATGTTGTATTTTATTGAAATTTATGTATTAACAGTGTGATAGGAATCGGTTGAAAGAACCGAATAAGCATGAACGGAGACTCAAATTCTGTTTGGCCACAACGAGGGAGAAAATGAATATACTGCAACTATTTTTGCTTCATTTCGCAAACAGAGCTCATCAAGGAAATCCAATGAAGCCTTTCTTGCCACGAGAAGAGATAGCTAAACATGTAAGAGTTTTACTTATTATGTATGCACATACGTCGGTATGTAAATGTTTCTTGATTATATAGCCTTTTTGAGTTTGTTGGAAATGTGATAATGTATTCTGCAGAAAATGAATTTCCGGATGGTACATGAAACAAACAGTTTGGCGGAGGAAAAAAAGCTTTTGAAAGAGATCAATGCGAGGCAGAAGGAGGTGGTTGATTCAGTTTCACCATTGGGAAAACATCGTTATTTTCCGCCTTACATAGATGTAAGAAATTTTAATTTCTCCTAGATTAGTCAACTATACGCTGTGGTTTTTTTAATCTAATTTGGATCTGGTTTTATGGTTTGGAATATTGAAACAGACTTGGCACTTGCGCCTCGACGAGTATTTTATGGTGATAAACCCGAGGAATGTAGTTGAAGGCCTCCTAAGACAAATCCAAGAACTCAAATGGCGAAGCGCAAGACCGGGAATTATATTTCAAAGGCAATGGGATGGTGAAGCCATTGCTGATCATGCAAGTTATGATGCTAATGCTGCTGCCTATTCTATTGCCAATGCCAAGGGAAAGATTTGGGATTCGTTGAGTTCAAAAAAAGCGTTACAAGAACAAATCAGAGTAACATACATAATTCTAACGGAAAAAGAATTGGAAAAATTGATTTTTGTTTTTATTTTTCTAGCTCATTTGATTTAATTTCTTGACACAAATATTGCAGGTAACTGGCAAGGAGATGGATGAATTAATGAAATCACTGGTGGCCCTGCGGCGCGGGCAGAATATAAAGAGAGCTGGGAGAAAATTGAAGGTCATTGAAAGAGATATAGAATGCTTGAAGAAGAAACTGACATTGATGGATCAGAAGAAAGATGAAGCATACGAGTGCGTTTTTAAATTGAGAAAACAAGAGAGTTAAAGACGACATCAGTTCTGCCATTCACCAAATAAAAATACATAATGCCATTGCAACAAATTTCATCGTCTCTTTGCGCAAGAACTCAAGTAGTTAGTAACATCATTGCATTCAGCTCTTGTTTCGGTTTCCTTTCAATGTGATCTGTTTTGCAGAAGCATATCCGCTCTAGCCAATCGTGACAACGTTCGTATATGTGGGCCCACTTAAATCATTTCAACCAAAGTAAAGCTGTAAACTGGAATGTGTTACTTTCACTATAATTATTCTCAGAGACTAAGTCCATATTGTGCTCTCTTTTGACTAAATCGTGCACTTCTTGTTGGAAATATTTGGCGAGTAGATGCTACTTTTGGTAAAGTTCACACAAGATAAATATTAATAAATGATAATTTACGTTGACATGGTAAATCATATAAAATAATGAAACAACAATGAAATGCTTTTGTAGGGTAGAAAACGCTCTTCATGCTTAATTAGAACAAAATCTAAGGTTGAGGCGTGTAAGGTCACTGTCCTTAAAAGTGAATTTCGCCTCTCCGAGACTCTTGGTGTTGCAAGTTATGATGTCATACTCTCCGGGATAAAACAACCTTGAAAGCGTACACTTGCTACTCCAGTTAGGTGAACAACTCGATTTTTCCATTGGTACAAAACCATTGAATGACGTAGCAACACTTGAAAGAATGAGAGATCCATACGACGAGAGAGGAGAGAATTGGAGAGTTAGTATTCCTGAGAAGCTTCATACATGGATGAGTGGTTCAAAGAAGAGGATCACTTGATCAACTCTGATCAAATGGTTTATATTCTGGAGATATAAGGCTTAATGATTCACATCAAAATAATGACTAACAGTTACGAAGGAATTAACACATGATATTGAAATTAAGATGTTGATATGCACAAGCAAAGCGCCCAGGGAAATTTGGAAAAATAGCCAAAATTTTGACTATGAATTGAATTTTAACCAACCATTATTATTTTTATAATTCTAACCAAAATTTGACGTGAAAGTACTACAATACCCTTTTTAAACCAAATTAATTACAAAAATATATCATCTCCATCTATTCATGGTCCAAATTTTGACTATGTATCAAAATTCCCTTCTTTTTTTTTCACAGGATTTCTGAGGAGGAATGTACAAGGCCATCAAGGAGGAAATTAACAAGGTTGTTAAACTTGAGGAAGAGCTCGACATTGATGTCCTGATTATATTACCTGTCAATTAAAAATTATGTTCTCCTTTTAAGCTGAGGGAGTCTCTTATGCACAAGAATGCATTTTCCATTTAATAGTGTCGACCATCTCCATTAAAGGGACACATTAATTGTCAAGAAGTCCATCTTCCCTGTACAGATGCTCCGAGTTGGATTCGTCGAAATATAAATGGGTTTTTGGAAGTAATATGCCTACCTTAATCAGCTTATGCTGAGATTAGAAAGAGAATAATTATCCAGTCCGTTAGGACTACAGGTGTTAATTCTATCAGACAAACGATATGGTTGAGTACTTTGTAAAGCAATTGTCTGGCTTTTCCTTTACCGCCAATCGCATTGATCTCAATGAGTAAAACCTCCAATTGTCTACAATGATGTGAGCCGCCTCACGCCTATAATTGTGAAGCTAAGCTCACCCCCTCTCCCTTAGCTTCACAATGGGCAATATTTTCATATTAGTTAAGAAAGGGTATTGTAGTATTTTCATATTAAGTTTTAGTTAGATTTATAATAATTTGTAATAGTTGGCTAGAATTATATTTCTAATCTAAAATTTGGCTATTTTACTTTTATTTTTTTTGGAAAAAAAACAATAATATCTACACTAAGGGAGAGGGGGTGAGCTTAGCTTCACAATGGGCTAGCAAGAATGTGGTTCAAACTCGCCTTTATCGAAAATCAAACCGAAGACCTCTCACTTACAAGTGAAGAGGAATACCACTAGAACGTAGTATTAAGTAGCAATTTTTTTTAGTACATTAAGGGGAGGGGGAGTTCGCCTAAGTCACACAATGGGCAACCTAATTTGATATCTAATTTGCCATACGCAAGATTCGAACCTAAAATCTCTTACTTTCAAGTGAAGAGAAATACCACTAGACCGTAGTAGTGAGTGGCAGTACTAAGTGGCAATTGACTTTGTATTTTGAAATACCCTAAAAAATTCCAACACTTCTGGCACACGCCATGTCAATTAATTTACTCAGCTTAATTTGTTTAATAAGATTTTTTGAATCAGTTGACTAAATTTGCGTGGGGTGCAAGAAAAATCGGCTGAATATTAATAGCAGAGCTTAATAGTTTACCAGCATCTCCTTACTGAGTCAAATTATCTTTGCCTCAATCAGTTGCAGTGTCTAAATATCTGTACGTTTGAAGGTAATGTACGAACGGTTTCGCCGTTTTCCTGGTAATTTGGTACGCTGATGCATTCGGGTCCCAGTCGAAGGCACAAAACCTGTATTTCATCTATTAATGTTGACGGTATACTTTCACATCCTTTTGTTTCTTCATTTTACTCTTTCCTTTGCATCACATCAGGCAAGGTCAACACTATGGGGGAACTGGAAGCTAACAGAGAAAACAATCGCTCGCAAGAGGACGTGCATGAAAACTGGAATCGTGTAGAAGTTGATGTTGTGGGTGAAGAGATAACTACTAAAGGCAGAATTCAAGAGGTCGAGAAGCTGGCTGCAAAGATCTGTCAAGATAAAATTGAGCTGAATGAAGATATAGAGAAAAGGAAGGTATGCGAAATGGTCCGAAAATTCTATATGAATTTATATTATATATGTGACTGCATTTCCTAATTCAATCATCAAACACCATATCTGACATTTTATTGAAAATATTGTCAACAGTGTGATAGGAGCAGTGCCCTTTTTCGGTTGGAAGACCTGAATGAAAAGGGACTCAAATCCAGGTTGGCCGTGGAGAGGGAGAAAATGAATATACTGCAACTATTTCTGCTTCGTTTAACAAACAAAGCTCCCCAAGGAAAACCGGAGAAGCCCTTCATGCCACGAGAAGAGATATCTAAGCATGTAAGTTTTCCTTATTATACATGCACACTCGCCGGTATGTCAATGTTCTTGATAATACAGCCTTTTGAGTTCGTTGGAAATGTGAACATGGATTCTGCAGAAAATGAATTTCCGGATGGTACATGGAACAAACAGTTTGGCTGACGAAAAGCAGCTTGTAAAAGAGATGAATGTGAGACAGGAGGAGGATACTGCTGGTTCATTTTCGCCATTGGGAAGGGATTATTATTGTTATATAGCTCCGCCTCTTGTAACTGTAAGATTAAACAAGTAATATTAAGTTCCTCAAGAGTTAATTAGTCTACTAGACACCAAGTTTTTCTTTTTCTTTAGATTTGATTTTTTCGTTTGGATTACCGAAACAGACTTATTACTTGCGTCATCTCTCTGCTGTACAATATCTGCGGAATCAGAGAAGTATAATGCATCAACGCCTAAGACAAATCCAAGAACTTCAATGGCAAGGAAGACAAATACAAGAACTTCAATGGCAAGGCGATAGACCGGGAATAGTATTTGAAAGGCAATGGGATGAAGCCATTGCTGAAGCAAGAGCTAGTGCAAATCCTAATGCTGATGCTAATGCTGCTGCCAATGCTATTGCAACTGCCAGGATTTGGGATTCTTTGAGTTCGAAGAAAGCGTTACAAGAGCAAATCAAGGTAAAGCGCATAACAATTCTAACTCATCCAATAGAGTAGCTAAAAGTTCGAACTTTGTTTCTTTTAACTTGCTAATTTAATTTCTTGACACAATATTGCAGGTAACTGGTGAAAAGATAGAAGAGTTAACGAAATCACTAACAGCCGTGCGGCCAAAAGTTAGGAAAGTTGAGAGAGAATTGAAGACCATTGAAAGAGATATCGAAATCTTGGAGAAGAAATTGCCATTGATTGATCAGAGGAAAGATGAAGCATACCAATGCATTCTTAAATTGAAAAACCAACAGAGTGATCATGTCCATGTATTCTCAAATTGAACATAAAGATTCACAGTTGTGTAAAATAAACATTGGTTGAAGAACTGTTCTGCCCACCCATATTATTTGGTTTGTTTTCAACACACCAAAACTCCATTGTTTAGGTTCGGAAAATATAATCCAAGTTCTTTTTAATTACAGTTACTAAGTTAGAAAATTATTAAAACCATGAAAAGGGAAATGATTTCTACACACTGCACATCCCAATTTTTTTTATTGCCATTGGAGCGCACAAATCAAAGGAGAATCAAAGGCTATAATTAAGAGGGTCAAGGTGTGCAAAAATCACTCACTCCATAAAAATCGTTCAGATGCGTGGTTTATTTATTTATTTATTTTTTTTTTTTGTGGGATCAAATACAGCTAATCCACCGAAGAAAACATCAGATATAGCCAAACAACCACTACCAGTAGTGTGTGCCAGTCGATCAGTTGGTATCTGATCCCGCAAATGGACCATATTTTACGCAGCTTAATTTGACAAGGCCACCCCAAGAAAAAAATATCTGGATATTCAAGGTAATGTACAAATGTCCCTTTCCTTGTTTTTATGTTAATGCGCTGATTCATTCGGTGCCAGTTGAATTCAAGACATGTGTTTTATCTATTAATGTTGATATGACGGTCTTGTTGAGAGTGAATTTCACGATGGGAAAATAAGAGATTTTGCATGTGCTTAAAAGTGTTTTAGGTGGAACCTCAACTTTCTTCATGGTATCAGAGCAATTTGTCTCGTGTCTAAAGCCTAACGGCCACATGTGAGAGGGCGTATTGAGAGTGAATCCTACATCGGAAAATGAGTGACCTTGTATGTAAGTAATTATTGTACTTCCCATATTGCTAAGAACTTAAATGGAAAAGCGCGAGACCGGGAATGCTCTTTGAAAGGCAATGGGATGAAGCCACTGCCAATGAAGCAGGTGTTAATGCTAATGCTGCTGCCAATGCCATGGCCAATGAAAAGAGAATGATTTGTGATTCTTTGAGTTCGAAAAAAGCATTACAAGAACAACTCAAAAGTATCATACACAATTCTTACTGATCAAATAGAGTAGGTGAAAATTCAAACTCTGTTTCGTTTAACTTGCTGATTGAATTTCTTGACACAATATTGCAGGTAACTGGTGAGAAGATTGAAGAATTAACCAAATCACTAACGGGAGTGCGGCCAAAACTTAGGAAAGTTGAGAAAGAATTGAAGGCCATTGAAAGGGATATAAAATGCTTGAAGGAGTAATTACCATTGATGGATCATAGGAAAGATGAAGCGAACCGATGCATTCTTAAACTGAGAAAAAACAACAGAGTGGTGAGGTACAAGAAAATGTGATGACAGGAAGGTGTCTGAAATTAATTGCTTAGGCCCCAAGTCTCAAATAAGCTCTTTCGTCAAGGATCGGCAGAGGTTGAAGAACGTCGAATTCTTCATCTTCCTTGAATCTGTAAATTGAAATGGTTCATATTAATTAGTTCTTAAAGTTACCTTGTGTCAGTACTGTAAGTAATTGTACTATTAGACCGTCGGCATTTATGCACCAAGATTCACAGTTGTATTGTAGCAACATTGGTTGAAGAAATATTCTGCCTACCCACTTTCTTTTGTTTGTTTTCAACATCATTAAAAGTCCATTGTTGAGGCAGTGAAAATACAATCCAAGTTCTTTTTTTTATTTTTCTAGTAACAATAATCCAAGTTCTTTTTAGTACAGTTTTATTTAAAACATGAAATAGGAAATGATTTATACACGTCATTTTCACCTCTTGCACACTCCATTTTTTTTATTATCATTGGATTGAACAAATCAAAAGAGAATCAAAGACTTAAGATGGGTCGTGCATAAATCATCCCCCCCCCCCCACGGATGAAAATCTTTATGAAGCGCTATTCTGGTTCGTGGGATCAGGTACAGCTGGTCGACCGGACATAACGAAATCAGATACAACTAAGTAACCAATAGTATGTGCCGGTCGATAAACCGGTATCCGATCTTACAAAATGGGATCTGGCTCCTAACTTTTAACCATTTCAACCAAAAAAAGCTAAACTGCTATTTGAACTTGGAACCAAGAGAATGTATTCCTTTCAATTGAATTATTCTCAAAGACTAAGACCATATTTTTCTCTCTTTTTCTAAATGTTTTTCAAATTGTGCATTTATCGCACATGCCTTGCCCATTTACTCAGCTTCGTCCTACAATGCCAACCCAAGAAAAAATCATTGAACAGGAATTGTTTAATGAGGGTTTGGAATCTGTTTACTTAATTTGCTTGGGATGCAAGGGGAATTATTTAATTAGGTTTTGCAATCTGTTGACTTAATTTGCTTGGGATGCAAGGGGAGTTGTTTAATAAGGTTTTATGCATCCCATTAGAGTGTATTTATATTGTGGTTTTTGCTATAATTATTAATAGGACAGCTTAACCCTTATATCAGCATCTCCTTGCCAAGTCAAACTCAAATTGTCTTTGTCTCAATCATTTGCAGCACCCTGATTATCTGGATATTCAAGGTAATGTACTAATGGCCCTTTCCTTGTTTTTATTTTAATTTGTGACGCTGATCCATTCGGGTGCAAGTCGAACTTAAAAACCTGTGTTTCATTTGTTAATGTTGACGATCTACTCTCGCATCCTCTTCGTTTCTTGATTTTTACCTTTATGCCAGTGCATAAACCCATTTATTCTTTTCATTTGTATATAGTGTGATTTGCTTATTCCTTTGTATCACATCAGGCAAAGCACCATGGAGGAATTGGAAGCTAAACGAGACAACAATAGCTTGCAAGAGGACTTACACGATAACTGGAATCGGGGTTTGGAAGTTGATGCTGCTGCTGATGAAAAGACAGATTTAAAAGGCAGAATTCACGAGGTTGAGAAGCTGGCTGAAAAGATCAGTCAAGACAGACTTGAGCTGAATGAAGATATAGTGAAAAGGACGGTATGATAAATGGTCTGCAAAAATCTGTATGAATTTAGACTGCATTTCCTAATTATTACTTCTGAGTTGTTGTTCTGATGTCAACTTCTATCATCAAACGTGGTCATGATTCATAAATGAAATATGCAAAGATCGATCTTATTCAAAATTTATGTCAACAGTGTGATAGGGCATGCACCCTTTCTCGGTTGGAATCCCTAAAAGATCGTGAAATGGGACTCGGATCCCTTTTGTCTGCGGCGAGGGAGAAAATGAATATACTGCAACTATTTCTGCTCCATTTTGCAGAAAAAGCTTACCAAGGAAAACCTATGAAGCCCTTCTTATCAGCAGAAGAGATAGCTAAACATGTAACGGCTAAATGTTTTGTCATATTTCCTAGAATATTTTTCTTTTTTTCTCTCTCTAAGCGTTTTGATCCGTTGGTTTTGTTGGAAATGTGCATACGGGTTCCGCAGAAAATGAATTTCCGGATGGGACATGGAACAAACAGTTTGGCGGAGGAAAAACGGCTTTTGAAACAGATGAATGTGAGACAGAAAGAGGGTGTTGATTCATTTTCATCATTGGAAGGGCATTGTTATACTCCGCCTTATGTAGATGTAAGATTAAACATGAAATATTTAGTTCTCTTAGGATAGCCCGTGCATTTTTCTTAACCTTGGGATTGCTTTTACGAATGAAATATTGTAACAGACTTGGCACTTGCCTCTCGACGAGTTTTATTATGTGAAGAATCAGAGAAGTATAGTTCGAAACCGCCTAAGACATATCCAAGAACTTAAATGGAAAAGCGCAAGACCAGGAATTCTATTTCAACGCCAATGGGATGAACCAAATGGTTATGTAGGTGATAATGCTAATGCTGCTGCCAATGCTATTGCTAATCCCAAGAGAAGGATTTGGGATTCTTTGAATTCGAAAAAAGAGTTACAAGAACAAATCAAAGTAACGTATATGCATAATTCTAACTCATCAAATAGAGTAAAGTTAAAACTTTGAAGTTTGTTTCCTATAAGTTTGCTGATTAATTTCTTGACACAACATTGTAGGTAAGTGGTCAGAAGGTTGATGAAGTAACGAAATCACTATTGGCCGTGCGGCCAAAAATTAAGAAAGTTGAGAGAGAATTGAAGGCCATTGAAAGAGATATAGAATGCTTGAAGAAAAATTTGACGTTGATGGATCATAGGAAAGATGAGGCGTTGCCTGCCTTCAGCAACCAAGAAATTAACAGAGATATCAGCAGAGGTTAAACGACTCCATTAAAACTATGGTGTTGCGATAAACCAAAGGCATTGTTATGGATGCAATTTACTCATCACAGTGTTAGAAATCTTCTCGTCAACAATCTCTTGCAATATTTTTGCAGTCATTGGCGAAGTATTTGTACTCAATCTTTGTTGTATACTTGAGATCACCATTTTCGAATACCTTAGTTATCAAATTTCATCTTCCTTGACTTTAGTACCATTATGAAATGGTTCTTCTTAGTTTTTACTATCCTTGCATATCAACACTGTAAGCAATCACGGCGACATTTGGACACTACCAAAATTCCTTTGTTCAATGTGTGAACTCCATTTTAGATGAAACTGCAATTAGATGTTACGCAATTAATCGGAGTGTTAAACCATTTCAACCAAACAAGTGGAACATCAACAGAGGACATTTTGCCCTTTGAATGTTTAGCCCTAGACTGCAAAAGTTCTTTTCGTTTCGAAGCAACTAATATCAACCAAGATTGCAAAGTGCAAACAAGGCTTCTTCGATCATTTTCATGTGTTGTGTTTCTAGGTTCTTTTCTGCTAATAGTTTATATGAAAAATGATGTTCGTACTTTACAGAAAATTGACTGCATTGGAGTTTAATTTCCTCAAGAAGCGCTGGAGTTGAAAGAGATCAGCAGAGATTATTTTGGGAACTTCTTTGAAACATAATTTACCTTTTATTTTGTTAAATTTAATAGATTTTTGTTAGTATATGATCCCATGTAAGCAAAAAAGTTGGGCCAGCACATGACACGTCATCACTTAACGAACTCAACTCAATCATCATAATTTCATAACATAAACCTTAACGGTACCAAATAGTTGATTGAGAACTAAGGTTGAATTTTAGACGGATCGGATCAAAAACGAGGCTTTTAGTTTCCATTTCAAAATTTACAGTTGCAAATTTTCGAACTTCCAAATTTACGGATTATTCAGAATCAGAACAATCTCAATATTTTCGAAACATAATTTTCAGAATTCATATTATCTATTTCAAATACTGCACATCTGGCAGACTAGTTCATTTCACTTAGCTTAATTTGACAATGGCGCCCCAATAAAAAATGAATTATTGAACATGATTTTTTTAATAAGATTTTGGAATCATTTGACCTTATTTGCGTGGGATGCAAGTGCATTTGGCTTAATATTAAAAGGACAGCTGATGCCAGTATTACCAGCATCTCCTTCCTAAGTCAGACTAAAGCTTCTAGCACTATGGAGGAACTGGAAGCTAATTCTACACAAACAGCGCAGGTACTTGAAAGCGAAGGAGACAAAGAGAACTTGTATGAAAATCGGAATCAGGGTTCACAAGTTGATGGACTTATAAATGATGCTGCTGATGAAGAGCCAAATTTGAAAGGCAGAATTCAAGAGGCTGAGAAGCTGGCTGCAAAGATCAGTCAAGAAAAACTTGAACTGATTGAAGATATCGCGCAAAGGAAGGTATGTTAAATGGTCTGCTAAATCTGCATAAATGTATGTGACTGTATTTCCTAACTGAATCATCAAACATGATCATGATTGAAACATGTGTAACATCGTATACAAAACTATGTGGACAGTGTGATCGGAGCTGCACCCTCTCTCGGTTGAAAAACCTGAATGATATTGAAATGGGACTCGGCTCCTCTTTTTCCTCGGAGAGGGAGATAATCAATATACTGCAACTATTTCTGCTTTGTTGTGCAAAAAAAGCTCACCAAGGAAAACCAATGAAGCCCGTCTTGCCACGAGAAGCGATAGCTAAAAATGTAAGAGTTACTCATCACATATATACACATGTAGCGGTATGTAAATGTTTCTTGACTATATTTTTTCCACCATGTCTTGAATTTTATGGAAATGTGGACATGGATTCTGCAGAAAATGAATTTCCGAATGGGACATGGAACAAACACTCTGGCGGAGGAAAATAAGCTTTTAAAGGAGATGAATGCTAGACAGGAGGAGGGTGCTGGTTTATTTCCCTCATTGGGAAGGGATTGTTATACTCCGCGTTATGTAGATGTAAGATTAAACAAGAAATATTTTTCTCTTAGAATACCCTCTGTTTTTCTTTTATTTTTCAATTTGGTCTTACTTTTGGTTTTGGACTATCGAAACAGGTATGGTGGTTGCCCTTCAATGAGTGTATGTATGAGATGAATCAGAGAAGTATAATTCAACACCGACTAAGACAAATCGAGGAAATAAAATGGCAAAGCGCAAGACCTGGAATTCTGTTTCAAAGCCAATGGGATGAACCAGTTGGTCATGCAAGTGATAATGCTAATGCTGCTGCCAATGCTGTTGCTAATCCCAAGGGAAGGATTTGGGATTCTTTGCGTTCGAAAAAAGCGTTACAAGAACAAATCAAAGTAACATACA